TTTTTTAACCTGAGAGAACACCTTTCTAGGAATTTCTAGGTCCTCCAGTGTGGATCTCTGTGATCAACATCTGGAAAAAACTGACCATAGAATCATGCTGGAAGACCTACAGATGCCTAGATAAGTGTATTCTCTAGGACTCTCTACGTCTTCTAGTGTGACTCTATAGTCAACTTCCAGCAGTGTTGAACTGGAGGACTTAGATATTCCTAGAGAGAACATATTAATCAAATCTGTAAATAATCTAATCCGCAAAAGTCAAATGTGGAGAGATGACTATAATATTTATTTCTTATCCATTTCTCCCCATGGATCAAGGCGAGGAACAACAGCAAATCGACAGTGAACAACATCAATTAAAGCACATTAATTAAAGCATGCAACAGTTTAAAAGGACAAATAAGAAATGCACATTTTACATCATTTAAAATTCAGCATCTAAATTTACAACTTGATAATATTTTGTTAATCAGCTTTCAAATATTTTCTATTAGAATGGTGAATAAATGTTTAAGACAATGCTTTCACATGTTGCTGTTGTATGCCTTCACGTCATTACTAACTTATGGCAACTCTAAGGTGGCCCTATTGTGGGGTTTTCTTGGCGAGATTTGTCTAGATGGGGTTGATAATGGCCTTCCTCTTAGGCTGAGAGAGTGTGACTTGCCCAAGGTCACCCAATGGATTTCCATGGCCAAGCAGGGCTTTAAATGCTGGTATCCCAGAGTCCTAATCTCACACTAGGGTTTTCAGGGGCTGAGAGTGTGTGACTCACCCATGGTCACCCAGTGGGTTTCCATGGCTGGGCGGGGAACCGAATCTTGATCTCCAGAGTCGTAGTCCAATGCTCAAACCACGAGTCGTGCTGGCTCTCAGTACACCATGCTTCCTGTTAATATTTGTTCAGAGGAGTTTTCCATTGTTTGAGGCTGAGAGAGTGGGACTTGCCCAAAGTCACCCAGTTGGTTTCCAAGGCTGAGTGGGAATTTGAACTCTGGTTTCCTGGACTCTTAGTCCTACACTCAAACTACTATACCACACTGCCCTTAAGATTTGTTCAGACAAGGTTGCCGTAACCTTAATCTAAGGCTGAGATATCAAGAGTCACCCATTGGGTTTCTATGAGCAGGGGATTCGAACCCTGGTCTCCTGGAGTCCTAGTCCAACACTCAAAACCGCTACACCACAAGGGCTCTCTTTCATTTAATTTTTCATTTTCTGCCCTAAAATCATTTCTAAAAACCGTGTGAGCTAAGACTGTGGACAGTTTCTCATTTTGCAAATCTTGGTCTCAGATTCTTTTTCTTGGTTCTTTTTATGAGAATGTTTTATGTCTGTTGGACACAATGGAGAACTAGTAGGGACAAAATCATTTTCTTTCTTTAACTATTGTTGATGGTTTCTTCTGTTTTTATTTCATTTTATTTTTTGCTTGTTTCTAATAAATGGGCAAAACCAAAAAGGTTCCTTTATAGTTCAGGTGTTCCTTACAGTCCATAACTCGATAATCAAGTTGTAATTATTTTTTAATAAAGTACATTCAATACAGAGCTAGCATGGCATAACGCTTTCATTGCTGGACAACGACTCCGGAGATCAGGGTTCAAATCCCAACTCAGCTGCAGAAACCCTCTGGATGACTTTGGGCAAGTCACACTCTCTCAGACTCAGAGAAGGCAATGACAGACCCCTTTTGAACAAATTCTGCCAAGAAAACCCCCAGTAAGTTGGAAGTGACTTGAAGGCACAGAAGAAGAACTAATAAATGAAGCATGTTGGAGGCGGACGTGTTGACGTCACCCTTGTATGAGCAAGGCAAGCCTCTCAAGGTATTTTAAATTAGGGCTAAATATCACATCCTTTTGAGAGTATGGTGCGGGGAACCCTGCCATTTCTGACAGGCTGCTGCAGGCTCCTTGATATTGAAAGCTCCTCGCAGGTGCATTAGCAAAGACAGGGCAGAAAGTATTCAACAATCATGCCTTTTTTAAAAAAGGGGGGCCTTTCTGCCACTTGATTCATTGCTCCCTAAATGTCTGGAATAATCACTCTAAATTGCAAACCAATTGCAGGCACTTGCACTGTGGACAACTTAATGGATGCTTCCCGTCACCCGCACCAGGACCCCGCTTCTCCTCCGCCTCCTTTTATGAATGAGCACCTTGGCAGCGACCTACGAAATATTTTTATATTCCGCTTTCCCTAGATTGTATTACTCATGTGGTTGTGTGTCTGTGAAGGCAGCATAGGTGTGTGAATCACCTGGATTCATGTTTTCTCTCGATATTGTCCAAATTAAGAAGCCCATCATAGTTCAGATTTATTTAGGTGTTTATTTTTTCCTCTCCCCAAATGTTTGTTGTTGTTGTTTTGTGCCTCCAAGTCATTTCTGACGTATGGAGACCCTAAGGGCCTTTGCAGACTGCCAGAAATAGTGCAAATTGAGTCCACTTTAACTGCCCTGACTCAGTGCTAGGGAATCATGGGAACTGTAGTTTATTGTGGCACCAGAGCTCTCTGACAGAGAAGGCTCAATGTCTCAGAAAAAAATACAATTCCCATGATTCCCTAGCACTGAGCCAGGGCAGTTAAAGTGGACTCAGTTTGCACCATTTCTAGCAGTCTGCAAAAGCCCTAAGGCGCCATATCGTGGGGTTTTCCTGGCAAGATGTGTTCAGAGGAGGGTTGCCATTGTCATCTTCTGAGGCTGAGAGAGTATGACTTGCCCAAGGTCACCCAGTGGGTTTCATGGCCAAGCCCGGATTCAAACCCTGGTTTCTCAGAGTCATAGTTTACCCCTCAAACCATTGTATCATGCTGACTCTAAAAACATGCAACCATCTGGGGATGTTTAGCCTGGAGAAGAGAAGGTTGAGAGGTGATATGATAGCCGTGTTTAAATATTTGAAGGGATGCCATATTGAGGAGAGAGCAAGCTTGTTTTCTGCTGCTCCAGAGACTAGGACCCGAAACAATGGATGCAAGCTGCAAAAAAAGAGATTCCACCTCAACATTAGGAGGAACTTCCTGACAGTAAGGGCGGTTCGAGAGTGGAACACGCTCCCTCGGAGAGTAGTGGAGTCTCCTTCCTTGGAGGTCTTTAAGCAGAGGCTGGATGGCCATCTGTCAGGGATGCTTTGATTGGGAGTTCCTGCATGGCAGGGGGTTGGACTGGATGGCCCTTGTGGTCTCTTCCAACTCTTTGATTCTATAATTCTATGATCTCCTAGGGCAGTGATGGTGAACTTTTTGGAGATTGAGTGCCCAAACTGCAACTCAGAACCCACTTATTTATCACAAAGTGCCACGTCCCTCTGGCTTTCTAGTAATGAACTCTGGCAAACTCTGTGCTGGGGCTATGGCGTGTGTGCCCACAGAGAGGGCTCTGAGTGCCACCTCTGGCACGCGTGCCATAGGTTCACCACCACGGTCCTAGGGTTTTCTTAGCAAGATTTCCATTGCAATTACCTTCCACTGAAGCTGAGAGAAAGTGACTTGCCCAAGGTTATCTGGTGGGTTTCCACAGCAGAGGGAGGATTCTGATCCTGGTCTCCCAGAGTGCTAGTCCAACCCTTGAGCCATGACACCATGTTGGCTATCCATTCTGGTGTGCTGTACTACTTTTATTTTAGGCCTTTAACAGTATGAATGGCTTTAATTTTGCAGACAGTCCAATGCTGTTTTAATCTTGATTATTGTATGATTTTAGGTACATAGGGTTATATTTGTATATCTTTCTACCTGCAAGCCACCCTGAGTCCCAGTCTTGGTGGAAAGCAGAGCAGAAATAAAGGAAATTATTTCTTCTTCACAGCACTCCCTTTTTTAATGAACATAATTCATTACCAATACAGAAAGTGCACAAAGTAATAAACATACAAATGCACAAACCCACACCACCCAAACCCCCTCTCTCTGCCCCATATAAAAACATGAACTTCCCCTTTCTCTTAGAATGAACCTTCATATAACACACCTAGGTACCCAGCACATTTTTAAATGAACAGTCTAAACCAATATTCTGTTTTTGTTGTATAATCTAAACACCTTTATTAAAGTTCCATTACCTTCAACAATCAGTGAAGCTACAACAAGAATGGTAAAATACTTGCTTACCCCTCTATATCTCAAATCCATAAGTAGCTGCATTTCCTTGATATCCCTTCATCAAATCTATAAAGGGTCCCCAGGTTTCTAAAAAGCTCTCTATTGTATTCCCTTTGATTAAATTAGTTAATTTTTTCCATTTCTGTAATTTCCATTAATTTCCCCACACATTCCCTGCAATCTGTGCAATTTGTTCATTTTGCAATGCCTTACCAATACCACTCTAGCTGTTGTTGCTATGTCTCTAATTAGATTAATATTTCTTTCCCCTTTTCTCCTCTTCATCTACCAGATTTAACAAAATGCTTTCACATACCATGCCTTATGAGGAGTGGCTTAGGGATCTGAGTATGTTTAGCCCGGAGAAGAGAAGGTTAAGAGGTGAATATTAGCCATGTTTCAATATTGGAAGGGATGCAATACTGAGGATGGAGCAAGCTTATTTTCTGCTGCTCCAAAGACTAGGACATGGAGCAATGGATGCAAACTGCA